GGGGGGGGGGGGGGGGGGGGGGGGAATGCAGAGCATGTACGCAAGTGGACAGAAAGCAATCCAGGGAGGGATGCATGGAGACAGCGAGGTCGGGGAAGGGTGAACGGGAACCAGCCAACAGAGGGACTAATAATGAAGACAAGACAGGGGAACGAGGGCTGCCTGGACTCCAGATGAAGACAGACGAAAAGAGCTGGACAGAGAAGCAGAGAGGTGAGGCAGAGGCTGGACAAAAAAAAACTGAGGAGACTGAAGCCAACTCAAATTTGCTTACAATTACCAGGAAGAAAACAATGTTGATGAATGTGTATGTGCACAAGAACAGCATTAGCAAGTCCACTGCCATTATGCATGAGATTTCAAACAGTGTTCTCACACAGGGGCTGTCACACGTTCCTTGTGCAACTGACGGAGTCCATCTAAATTCAAAGAGCCCCATTAACATACCTCACCTCAAATATACCAGTGTGACTGTGTGTGTGATTGTGTTTGCCTCACAGTTTTGTGTTTTTGTGTACACGAGGTGTAGGAAATGTAAAATGTATGAGAGAGAGTGGAGGAGGTGGTTTATTTAATATGCCTTCATGAATGTTGTTAACCATTTGTGTGTGCATACCACAGAGTTGCAGAATGTTGCGGTCCAGTTTGCAGTAGTCCTGGTCTGAGACGTTGAGGTGCAGCAGTGCATTGTGGGACTGTATGGGAGAGGGACTGAGAGGAGGCCTCTGGTAGGACGTCTGAACAGCCTGGACTCGCGCACACGCCACTGAGGCCTGTGACGACATGCATGTGTGCAGAAACACACACACAAGCACCAAAGTATGTTGAGTTGAAAGTAAATTTGGGAGAGTAAATCATCAGACGAAATACTGTCTGATGCGTTCGTCTGGTCCTTCAGAGAACTGACAAAAATGAATGGAAAGACCATGGAAGTAAACATCACCTGTCTTACACAGGATAATGAATGCAAAACACACATTATTGCTGAGATAAAACATTGATAAGGTCTTTCTCGGACTGATGTGGGTGTGAACATTAACTTTAACATTAACTTAAGGAAACAGGCTTTCTGGATTTGCAATCTCAGAAATTTACAACTGGGGGGGGGGGCAATATTTTAGTTATTTAATAAAAGAGAGTTTTGTAGTTCTTGCACTGTGTGCTTAAATTCTAACTTGCTTCTGTGATGACATTTTTGTGACTTTGTGATAATTGTTGCGGTTTTTATACAACCTTTTGTTGTGTAATTGCTGTACGTTCCGTGAGTGCAGCATCTTTCAGAGGGTGGCCATCTAAAAGTTTAGTTCTCATTGAATTATCAATAAATGATGCCTTCTTGGAGAGTATATACTGGCTGTGCTTTACCCTAAAACATGCTGATAAAGGCCCTGTGGCAAAACCTGTTCGTTAGCTAAATACAAAGCAAACTCTTCCAGTTAGTCAGCTACTGTTACCAAGCTTTTTATTCATTTATTTTTTTGTATATTTTTGACCATAAAAGACAGAGAAAGAGAGAGCTTACATGTTTCTCCAGCATGTTAAGATGCAGTTCATCCTGATCAGATAGTGGATTACAGCCCACCTACAACACACACAGACATTTCATTACAGTTCAGTTTTGACTGCTACAGTTTGTGCTGCCTCTGTGTTTTTGTTGTGTAATTTGTGAATGTTAAATAAAAGTAAATGAATACACGTATGTTATTCAACTGTAAATATCTACCTTTTCGTAAGGGTGGAGGCAACATTGTAGACTGCAGACTGTAGACTTTTGTTACTTTGGTTTATTAACTTATTACCATTGATTGTCCTTGAATGCAAGGACTCACCAGTAAGACAGCGATGGCCTTGTCCCGCTCCTGGTTCAAGAGAGGAATGACAACAGCTAAAAGAAAGAAAGAAAAAGAAAAAGAAAGAAAAGCATTCATAACAATAATACATTGATTCAAACACAACATACTCTTGGTCTATTTATCTCCTCCTTTCATTGGCTTTCCATGTCGTTTGTCTCACTCTTCATCTTATTTGTTTTTTCTCTATGTTCTAATACTAAATAGAAATATGCAGGAGAAATGAACATGGGGGAAAAACATCCCAAATGTCCTTGAATAACACTGCCTGTTATTATTATTGTTATTTTTCATTTTTGTTTCATTTGTTATTATCATCGGTGTAGTGCAGATAGCTAAAGCAGATCTTAATGTAGAAAATAAGTGTGATCTTGGAGGTAAGTGTTGCTACATGTGTGGACAGCAGACAAAACAACAAACAATGTGATGTGTTTACCACATTGGTACCCAACTAACTCTGCAATTTAATGTTCACTGCATGTGTACTGTAGGATGTCTCCATGATTACGGTACAGCCCTCAAGGTTATTCTCATATTTCTGTTAATTTGAAGAGGAATGCAGAGTCTATTCATTGCACTCTATTCATGTTCTTGAATTTTTTTTCTCATCACAGACCCTCATTGCTCTTGCCCAATTTTATTGCCCACGCAGCACCATACCTATCTTTCGGCAATCATCATCTCTTGTTCACTACTTCTCTCTCCACCTCCTTTTGTTAGTTTTTTCTCCCCCGCTCTGACATCTCTTAGCTCCTCTGGATACACAGGCGCAAGCTCACACATGCTCAAACAAGCACACACACACACACACACACACACACACACACACACACACACACAC